GTGGGGAGGCAAGAATATTCAATTATTCGTGTACTATGGCAATGACAACTGCAGACACAGAATCACTAGAAACTGATGCCTCATAAACAACTGAAAAAAGATCTCAATCAAAGAATCTAACCTGCATGTATCCAACATTTTCCTCACCAATAGCAAGCCCTCCAAGTAGAATAGGATGGCATGGGTCAAAATATTCAACCATCTCAAATGGAACATCATGAAATTCAAGCCTAAGATACATCCCTGTTCTAAACCCTTCTATTTCTATCCGAGTGGCATCGTCAAGTTCATTTAGTTCGGCTATATTTCGTTGCTTTTGAAGTTCAATATCCTCCTTTAACTGCAAAGGTACAAAAAGCATAGTTAATTGAAGGGGATCCATCTTTACCAGCAAAAAAAGTTAGTGAGATAAGTGCACCTTGTCAAAGTATCCAGATACGCTGGCTTGATTGAGAGAGTGAGTTGCAGGTTTATCATCACTGTCATCATCAGCTAATTCCAGATCGTCATTTGTGTGATTGAGTTAAGTCCACATATTTTCAAACACAACTAATTTGTGTAAACACGCATAACATAATGTAAACATTAAGTTCACAGATGGCTGGCAAATGTTATTAGCCGATCAAACATTCTATAGAAACAGAACCATTTGTAATGAAAACCCCAATAAATTACTGTAGAAAAATGCAGAATAATGACAATACATTTTATTAGTGAAGGATATTGAGCATCAAACTTGGCACGAAGAGCCAACTTTTTGAGCCTTCGCTTCTCAGCTTCGTCAATTTCATCACTTTTAGAAGAAACGTTGCTTATCTGTTGTGAGCTCTTAAATTTCTCCCCGATTTCCAAGTCTTCGAAATCACCAAATACATCTTGGTCATCATCATCAATGACACTTTCCATAGGCAGACCTGCAGCAGCTGCTCTTGACCAACCTTTGGTGACAAAACGATTACGAATGCTCTCAATCATATCTTCATCCTTCCAACCTTTATCACTTGATTGAATTTTGATTTTAGAGCAATCCTCGGCATTGAGATTATCACCATACAAAACTTTTTTCCCCTTCTGAATGAATTATTAAAAAGTAGCATTTAGAAAGGCATTTCAGGAAAAGAGAAATTTTCATCTTGTGTGATTCTATATTGTAGATAAATAAAAACTAGTTCAAAAGTTGTAAAAAAATCCCCTTTGTACTTGGCTTCTTTTCAGTTTTCTTTTCAAACATGCAGCTGCATTTTTTTACTTTGGACAAATCTTCCTATATTTTAAACTACGCTGCTTGGACTTTGTCCAAACATAAAGGTTGCAGAGGATGTTGAAATGAGTCCAACCACGTTTGACTCAATGCCAAGCGGTGCTCCAGCACAGCATCATAAAGTAAGGATTTCAAGGACCCCCCCCCCACACACACACAAGAAAACATAGCAGTTCATTTAGAGGACAAGAATTTGTGCGAATAGGTTTAGTTTCATCTAAGTGCACACCTTTCCTTCCCCTTTTGGCTTAAAGAATGGATCATCTTCGCTTTCATCGTCCTCACTAATTTGTTCAGTACCAAAGGCAGAAACTGAATTTGACTCAGCTTTCCCATATACAAGTTGCATAAGATTAATACTCTGCCGTGAATTTGCTCGTTCTGCTAGGGACTCTTTCCATTTTGAGGTATTTCCCAACTCATCTTCAGGAACTAAAATAAATTAAAAATACTTAAATTAGGAATGTGAAAGTACTGGACCATGTGTGGAAAAACAATTTGCAGAAGAGATCACTTCTTTTCATGGATCGTGTCACTTAAAAATTGATGTTTAAAAAAAGCCCTGCAGAAATGCAGATTACAAAAAGAAAGAAGGAAAGAAAGAAAGAAATACTCAAATACATATATAAATATATAATATAAAAGGAAAGAGAAACATACCATCTCCCTCCTCTGCAGGATGTTCCAATGAGTGTATAGGTGCTACATCAGGCTCAGATTCTTCCTCCGCCTCATCAGAGTTATCTGAATCACTAGAATTATCTGAATCATCACATTCTTCTTCAACTCGATCTTCACTACCCTCTTCTTCATCCTAAAGCAGGAAAAATGAACAAACAATATTATTATTGAATGCAAAGATATGTGACCAAATAACTATGTATGTGCATGTTGATAACTACATGAATAATTGATGTTTTCAGAATCCCATGATATCACTACTTGCTAATTAACAGAAATACAGAGTAATAATAAATTACATAAGACAAATAAGAGATCTCAAGAGTTTCAAATCAAGCCTTGCAACGCTAAAAAGGAACTACAGACACATTTAACACCAACTGAGTAAAACGAGTGGCCTTAAGTATTCATGGAAAGGATGAGGATAAAATCTGGCAACATGCTTTGAGGCAATACCCCTACGATCATACCAACTTCTCAATGCAGTGCAGGGAGATGTTTTAACGTTATAATAGTAAGCATGTTGTTTCAGTGGCCGGGAGACATATTCAGGGGTGGAAGTTGGGATTGAATCTCACATTGTGCTCAAGGTAAACTAGTTTCAATATCTTGGCTCGGTCATTCATGGAGATGGGGTGTTAGACGTGGATGATGTACAGCGTGTTGGAGCAGCTTGAGCTAAGTGAAGGTTGGCTTCAAGGGTGTTGTGTGTTAACAAGATTTCACCCAGAATGGCGCTAGTGAGGTTATCCGAGGTCGGTTAGGCATGACGCTAGTGAAATATAAGTTGCGGGAAACTAGGTTGAGGTGGTTTGGTCAAGTGAGACAACAGAATGCTTCCGCGCCAGAGTGGAGATGAGAGAGGCTTACGTTGGGTCGGGGAAGTAGGGAAAGGGGTAGATCTAAGATGAGTTGGAAGGTGGAAGGAGGTGATTAGAGAGTACTTAGGACTTCTTTCCCTTAATTTTGTACAAACCAAACAAAGCAAAGATAACTTTAGAAATTATAGTTTAACGTGTAGCAATGCTGCTCAATGTGATTACTTTGTTGAATTTAGAAGTAAGACACATAAGATTATTTTCCTTGCATATTACTATGAACTATTCATGAACAGTATATTGTCCCTATTGAGTTACTATTTATCTGTCCCATATGTTCTCTACTCTCCATTTTCTAAATTGGGATTTTTTTTTGCTCTAAATTAAGCTTAGCCATTTCGGCCAAGGATAGGGAAATATGGGAAAGCATAGGACAAGGTTTATAAAAAATATAAGGATAGCATTTATTATATTCAGATCTAAGATCTCATGGGTCCAACATATAACAGAAACTTAAGTAAACTGTGTTTAAAAGCAAAAAGGGCCAAGAGAAGTACCTCAGCATCAAGATTGTTGTCATCGTCAAAGATAGCTTTTCTCCTCAGTCTTCCATCATGAAAATCATGATGCTCTCTAAAGCTAATATTTGAAGCAGGAACTTGCTCTGGTCCACTATCATTTCCTTTTTCCAACATATCAAGTTCTTCATCTAGGTTATTCTCTCCATCTAAAGACTCGGAGTCATCCATATTATGGGTATCTGTTTCTTGATCTTGTGCAACTTTATTAGCTTCCAATTGAAATGTAGATGATGTATTGGGCTTTTTGCCAAATAGAGAGATAAAACTCTGCTCCAATTTCTCATTGATTGAATATTTTGTATTTTGGAGTGATTTAACTAAAGTTTCCCCCACATCAAGTTTCTTGCCTGGTCATCAGACAGTAAAAATATAAGGAAAAAATTATTGAACCTAGATACAAGCAAAACAAATGTGAGAGAATAATTCAACCTCATCACAAATCATACTGCCAAAAGATTGAGCAGAAGGCAAGAACAGTTAAATAGAACTGAAAGCTGTTTCATGATGGTAACTAATACACAGCTCAAAATAAAAGAGCAAGGTGTAAAATATTTAGCTTGTCTTCATACAACTTAATATCGATAGGGATCGTCAATAGGCACAATTGTAAAATGAGAAAAGAATATGTACTATTGCTGAAGTCGAAGATTCACAATGCAGTAAAGCTGAAAAATCTTGAGATAGCAAAATTTAAAAAGGCCATGTAAATTTAGAATGAGCCAGAACCTTTCTTTGTTATGTTGGCATTTGCATCATCCACCTTAGAGAACTGCACAAAGTGATCATTTATGTTAATGTAGACAGCATCCTTATCATAAAGAAGGTCTCCTAATCCAGACATTGGAGCATAAAACAGCTTCTCCTTGTCCCTTAAACCCTTCTTCTTGGCAGCCATTGGTAGAGGACAGGGATCAGGTAGGGCTGTAACACCAGCCAGATTGTAATCACCAACACCAGCAATATGCACCTGCTCATAACATAAACTTATCAGGATAAGAGCAGACACAAAGAGAGATATAGACGGAGGCGCACGCACACATACTTATTTGTATTACTTCCTCCGTCCCCCTAAGATGTTCTCATTTTGACTTTTGGTGATTTTTAATGAGAGTTGAAAAAAGGTGAAAGTTTACCATAATACCCTTAATGAAAAATGGGTGGAGTGTATTAAATGAGGTACGTGAGGTGTAATAAATAAAGTAAGTGGGGGTAGTTGTGGTATTTTAATTGTTAAAAAATGAAATGAGAAGATCTATTGTGGACATAGAAAAAGGGCTATTGAGAAGATCTATGAGGGACGGAGGGAGTATAATTTAGCATTTTTTCATTATTATAAATAACTAAATTTAATGCCTTCTCATAATATTTTCCACGCAATTAAAAAATAACCTATGATGAACAGTTTTAGAATTTTATCACATAATTCTTTCTTATGAAGGACTTGACAGGAAGTACATCCAACAAAAAAACATCACCAGTATGTTTTTTGTAATAATTATAGTGTTACTTGAATTTATACAATTAATTGGCACTATAAATTTAATGGCACTGACTGCAACTATTTGGGATTAAGATGATGAATGATACAACCTACCCAAAATTATTTCAAATTATAATTGAATAAAAAAGAGACCCAATATTATGAGACATCATAATTCACCTTTATCATTCCACTTGTGGGATTCTAAACTAATATTTCAGAATGAATAATAATTCAGTTAAAAAAGATCCAATACTCAGTAGAAATGAAAATTAAATAAATATGTGTATACCTATGTGTGTCTGTTTGTGGAATGTGAAATATTATAGTCCCTAAGTAATATCTTTTGGTCATTTAGGTAATTGTTTTGAATAAGTGTTTTAGACACAATCTAATAACAATATCCTACACAATGCATACATAGCATTTGTATAATAAGAGAATGAAATCAGTTTTTTAATTATTTTTTAAGACCTTTCTTTCTGCATGGGAGATAGCAAAAAGTTTCACTTTTGCAAAGAGATACATGAACATTCTGTCCTTATGATTATTAGATCACACAAGAAGAAGTCCACCTCAAACAAAATGGGGGCCGAAAATTGCTGCCTCAAACTAGAATATCAGAACTATGACAACTCTAAAGACAACTACAAGCATATCATACAATAATCACATCAAAAACTGTTCCTTGTA